TTTTTGGGCTACGAGTAAAGTTTTGATACATGTAAGTCAAAATTGGATGTAATATAAGCACTTACATTTAGCGAAGTAAAAAAATATGTATGTAAAACTTAATCTTGAGAAGAATTTTTTGAACCATTATTTATAATTACTTAAACTATCTTTAATTTCTTTTATAACCGTCGTTGAACAGAGGACTCAATTTTGGGTTTACGACTACTAAGATTCTACTCTGTAGCCTTGTAACTTTGAAGACAAGGGAACTCCTGAATCAAGGAATCCAGAAGACAAGGAAACTCCTGATTCAAGTATTGGGAGAAATTTGCCTTCATGCAGGATTTTTTGATGCAACTAACCAGCTTTTTGAGCGAAAAAGCCTGGATAAACAATTTTTTCTTCTTTCCAAAATGAAATTTTTCTAACTTTCATGATAATGCAAAAATCGATGAAAATTGTCTTACTTCTAATACTATCCAAAGAAATACTATCTAATTCCAATACTATCCAAGAAAACCAAATTGCTGATGCTTTAGGGAAAAAAGTAATAGTAATATCAAAAAGTTCAATAACTGATGCATCACTGAGAACTTTGAAAAATTCCCAGTCAACATCTTTTTTTTTTTTGATTACTTGTTTTGTAGGGATTTAGGAATAAATGTGAAAATCAAACAAAAATCAAATTTCAGCTTGAAATACAATGCATATATTGTTTGTCTGTTTGTTATTTTCAATAAAATTTTGTTTATTTTAAGCTCATTTTAATTTTTTAGTATATAGTTTTAGTGTTTTCATGAAGTAAATCTCATTTTAATGTCAATATTGCATTAGCTATGCTTAATTCCATATTGATTTAAAATAAAATGGATTAATTTATGATATAAATAAAAAAAATATCTAAATTTTTTAAAAATAATTTAAAGAGATTGTAATGTAACTTTAAATGAGCTAAGCATTTAAATGAAAACAATTCTACATAATTAATCATAAATTTCATGGCTCAAGACATCATGTCAGCAACGCATATTTTTACTCTCAGCAAAAATTTATTTTAATTTTCATAAATTGGAATGACAGCAGACATCACTCAATTACATTATTACTACAGGGTTGGAGTTTAGGTCGTCCAAAACTAGTTTTGGACAGGACATATGGGCTTTATTCTCCAAAACCTTGAACATTGGTAAAAGGCTAAAAATTCTATTTGTGTAACCATTGTACACATAATAATTACATTTATTAATAAATATTTTATACTTTTTAAACACTTTGCTTTAACTTATTAAAGGAAAATAATGTAACATAATAAGAAAACATTTATAACTTTTGAAGCTCTACAATTCATTGAACAACAAAAGTGAATACATTATCTTTTAAATATGCTTTTAATACTGATAAATTATGTTTTTGCATAAGGATATATAATGTTTTTAAATAAAGCAAGAACTTCTCTTCATTTTGCTTTTAGCTGAAAAATTAAGCTTTTATTTTTCCCAATATTTTTCTTAAAATTGTGACATAATTTGAATAAAAAAGTTTTGGACAGTTTAAGACAGTTTTGGATAGGACGGCTTAAACCGCGCATTATTAAATTCTGTACTAAATCTTGCAAACTCTAATATCAAAACTAACTAAATGTTGCATGCAACAAAACTTAAAGGAAGTATAAGTTTGAATTAGAAATTTTAAAGGCTGCACATATTACTGATAAAGCGAAATTCTCAATGAGTTGTATTTATAGATCTTTACAAATTGTTAATTTAAAAATAAATATCTTTCCCACTATTAATACATAATTTTTTGTCAGGTAAGGACAAAACAGAATGTAAAAAGCAAATTAATAATAATAATCATAAAATAATAACTTTCTGAATAGCACCGTTTTATGAAATCTACAGCCATCTAAAAGCATTTACCTCTGCAAGAAGTTCTTCATTTAGTTCTTTATCAGGGTACTGTAAAAAAAGTAAAATAAAATTACTTGTAAATATTATACAGTGTTTTTTCCCCAACTCTTTGGATTTTGAAATATCACATTTAGCTCTAGAGATAATTAACTCTTTGATATACGAAGACGTCTGAGAGACGGAATTTGCTTCATATGTCAAAACAATAATTAACGCGTCTCAGACATCTTCTACACAGATATGCCAACTTGTTCCGGACAGCAAATAAATACTTTAAAGTGGTAGTTCATCAATTGTGATTCGTAGTTTAATAAATTCAATTTAGTAGATTTTTATTCACCACTATTTCTAAATTATTCATAGGCTTATATAATTTACCACTTTATAGTACTTACGTCATGCTATACCTTTTAAAAAGCAAGGAAAAATAGTCAAATATTTGCAAAATTTAGTTTGTAGTTATTTACCATTTTTAAAATTATTTTGGAGTGTCCGGAGCAGTTGGCATCTCTGTCAACATTCTGTTGCGAGTTGTTGTTTACAGTACAATCAAAGATAATTTCTATATCAAGAAATTAATAATTCCGGACAGTTTAGAGTTTTAATGATATGTCAAGGGGTTAATTAGTTAATTGTAATAATTAATTAAAATAGAATAATTGTTAGATAATTAATTAGCAGGGTTGCCATTCAAATCCAGAAGAAAAAAAAATTCCATGTGTTTTCCCTGTACATATTATAAACAATATATTAAGAGGAAAAACACAATCACTGTGTTCCTGCATGAGCTGTATTGTGCTAACTGTACTAGTTATAAAATTGCTGAAAAAACTTAAGGAAAAAAAGAACATATTTAAAACAAATACTGCTATAGTAAATGAAATAGTTAAATATAGCTGAAATATCCTTAAATATCCCATCAATTGCACTTGGAGTGGTTACCATTTTTTAAAAGACAAAAATAAGAAAAAAAATTCCTTGTATTTTCCCAGTTTGCAAGGAAAAACTCAAAATTCCCTGCATTTTCCATGTTATTTTAGATTTTTTTAATTCCCTGCATTTTCCAGATTTTCCCTGTGGAGTAGCGATCCTGAGTATGTTATTCCATACTAAATACCACCATTAAAGTTTCAAATTATGTTATTTAAAAATTGTAATTATTCATGAAAAAAGCAACAGGTGAACATACTCAGAACAAATAATGCTATGGTAAATGAACTAGTTTAAAATAGCTGAAATACCATTGTTAAATAACTCATAGATTGCACTTTGCTTGGTTACCATTTTTTAAAAGACAAAAATAAGAAACGAAATTTTCAGTTTCTAAAGAAAAATTCAAAATTCTGTTTTCTTTTGAGTGATATTTAAATTCCATGTATTTTCCAGGTTTTCCCTGTGGAGTGGCAACCTTGATTAATCATGAGAATAGAATTCTATAAATTTTTTTTATATTAAAAGAATATAAAAAAAACAATACACCAAAAAAATGAACTATAAGACTTTTTTGTATGAAAGAGTAAATTCTCTCACCTTCTCACTTTGCTTAGGTTTTCCATCAGATTCACATTTTTGAATGTATTTTAACACCTGTATACAACGACCATCTAATAAAAATATTAAAGCATTAGTTTACATGCTAACTTTAAGAGGATGCTATACCGCGGAAGAAATTTTTCGTCACAAATTTGCTTTCTCCTTCATTGCTAATTTGAAATTTAAAAAATGTAGAAAAAGTGAGTTCAGACAAAACCTGAGTAAGCCATGGAAGTTTCAAATACTGAAAAGAAAATTTTCAAAATATACGAATGAAAATAAATGATGAGATGATAACTTAGGATGACGCAACGGAGAAGTTCTCTTCTAATAATCGGTTTGCATTTTAATATTTCAAAGTATTTTTTCAGCAATTGAAACTTCATGACTTACTCCAAGTTTATCTGAACTTACTTTATGTTTCTTTTAACTTTTAAATTAGTAAAGAATTTGCTACGAAAATTTTCTTCTGCAGTAGAGTGTTCTCTTAAAAGTAATCAGGCTAAACAATTTGTACAAAAATAATACATTTATAATAAAATTTTGACACGTAAGCGGAAAAAGAAATAGCTTAGATGTAAAACCAACATTTGCTATACATAAGGTGTCAGATAATCAACTCTCTAATAAGATAACTCAAACCAGTTTATTCATTCTCACTAGTCCCAGTTTCTCCACAATAAAATTTCCTGCAAGAGTTTTATTTGTTGTGAGTCGTGGTGAGAAAAACTACATTTCTTGGTAGTTAACTACAATTATGAACTACATTTCTTGGTAGTTAACTACGGTTACTAATGTTCAACTACGTAGCTTTGTAAATTTGAACCCAGTCCAGAAGACAAAGGAACTCCTGGATGAAGTATTTGGACTGAGTTATTGTAATGAATGATGAATAAAATCCCAATCGTTCAATTTGAAGAATGCTATTTCTATTTTCATCCTTTGTTAGAAGTAGCAGATGGACAAATAAATAAAATAGTTTAATAAAGTAGTTATAACTTTAANCCCGATATTGCAACCTCAAAAACGAATCTCGATATTGGATTTTAAGCTCGCGTGAATACGGATTGCTACATAGGGTTTTAAAAGCTCTTAAATACAAATCACGATATTGGTTTTTTAAATCACATAAATAAGAATCATAATGTACGATATTTAAATAGCGTAAATAAGAATTGCAATGCGCAACTTTTAAATCGGGTAAATACGAAAATCGATGATTGATATTAAAATCGCGTGAATAAAAATCGAGATATTTGCTGAGTCTGGACTTGAGATTCCTGAAAGGCTTGTTTGTATTGTTTTTGTTTAGACATAATAAATAAAAATTTACAAGATTAATTGAATGAGCAAATAAATATTTTCACCGCAAATCCACCTCTATTTTTTTTCTGTTTTTTTGTTTGTTTTCACGCCAGAATACAAGAAGGAGTTAGCAGCTAGGACGTAGTTTGAATTTTCTGTTTATCTTTGAAAATCGCAAATAAAATAATTATTTTACTTCAACGTCTGAGTTTTAAAAGAAAAGTGGGATATTCATATAAAAAAAGAATGAAAAAAAAAACGAAACTTTTAGAGAATCGGAGTTTTGATAAAAAGGCTGAAATTCGAGAGACAAAAAAAATCTCATCCCTATATAAAGGCCAACCAGTTTTATCCCAAGGAAATGATTTTTAGAGAAAATTCAGAGAGAGGAATAAGGACTTCAATAAATTCTTTCAGCGGAAAGTTAAATTCCTCATTAAATATTTTAACTTGTGCAAAAAAAAAATTTCAGCGGAAATTAGCGGGAAAAATGGAAAAATCTGAGAAAAAGCGGAAATCCGCGAATCCGCGGAAGAATCTCATCCCTGTCTTCTAATAATCAGTTTGCATTTTAATATTTCGAAATATTTTTTCAGCAATTGAAACTTCATGACTTACTCTACGTTTGTCTGAATTCACTTTATGTTTCTTTTAACTTTTAAATTAGTAAAGAAGGAGAAAGAGAATTTGCTACGAAAATTTTCTTCTGCAGTAGGGTGTTCTCTTAAAAGTAATCAGGCTAAACAATTTGTACAAAAATAATACATTTGCAATAAAATTTAGACACGGAAGCAGAAAAAGAAATAGCTTAGATGTAAAACCAACATTTGCTATACATAAGGTGTCAGATAATCAACTCTCTAATAAGATAACTCAAACCAGTTTATTCATTCTCACTAGTTCCAGTTTCTCCACAATAAAATTTCCTGCAAGAGTCTTATTTGCTGTGAGTCGTGGTGAGAAAAACTACATTTCTTGGTAGTTAACTACAATTATGAACTACATTTCTTGGTAGTTAACTACGGTTACTAATGTTCAACTACGTAGCTTTGTAAATTTGAACCCAGTCCAGAAGACAAAGGAACTCCCGGATGAAGTATTTGGATTGAGTTATTGTAATGAATGATGAATAAAATCCCAATCGCTCAATTTGAAGAATGCTATTTCTATTTTCATCCTTTGTTAGAAGTAGCAGATGGACAAATAAATAAAATAGTTTAATAAAGTAGTTATAACTTTAAAGCTTATTTTAATTGGTTTGGTTTATAATAGAATTGTTTGCATACATGAGTAGATAACATGTAGTAATATTTTACTTTATAACCGTCATTGAGCAGCCGACCCAATTTTGGGTTTACGACTACTAATGTTCAACTCCGTAGCTTTGAACCAATCCAGAAGACAAGAAAACTTCTGATTCAATACCCCCACAGGTTTAATTTGTTATGGGAACATGGAGGACTTTGTGACTGGACAGATTTAACGTGCATCAGTCACACTACACAATTGCTTACAAACACTTATATTCATTCTTTTCTGAACGACAAAAATATATGTTAAACATTAAAACAATTGGAATATATATACAAAATTAAGTTGAGTAGAAACAAAACTATGATGCATTACAAAAATTATAACTTAGTTTTGCTTATACTTAACTATGATGTATCATAATATCATTAAAATTATATAATTAGAAGGCTTACCTAAAAACCCTTTATTTTTAATCAGGGCTTGCTTCATATCTTTTTCTGTTTTAAAGCCTACAAATGCAAAACCTAAAATAAACAAGAAAAAACATTTATAGTATTTAAAATAAAAAATAAGATTTCTATAATAAGTATTTAAATTTTGAAACCTTTTCTTTTCGGTGGAAGGCGAAGACTAGCTATTTTGAGAGAATTGAAGAATTTTTTGATTTGTGCCTAAAAAGATATATTAACATTGTTAAACAAAGAAATAAATAAAAAAAAATGAGATTAATTTTTTATTTTGAGTATTGACATATACCTTTTTGCATTGATAAGGTAAGTTGGTAAGCTTTACTGTAAACAACTCCTTATATTTTTTCTGCAAAATAATAATATGGAAATTAAAAATTATAAAGCAATATCAATAAACAAGGCAAGAGCTCTTAACAAAAATCTATAGAGAATATTAGTTTCATTAGGACTAATTCTTTAAAAATAATATTGGTACATAGAGGAATAAGAGTGCATTTGTAAAAAGAAAAATATACAATTATATACTATACTATAATATAATATATAATAAACAATAATACACTAAATAATAATATACTTTAGGGGTGCACAGTCTGCGGCCCGCGGGCAGTATCATATGCTGGGAAATAATTTGTGCATCATTAAATTTTAACAGTAAAAAAATTTAATCAAGATAAGCTTCATAAAGTAATGTAACTTTTAATTAATTGTTAACATATAAATGTATTTATTGTAAATAGCAAATTGTCATGTTAAAAAAGTATTGGTCATAAAGAGTTGTAGATAAGTATCTTAATAGTTTTTCTTCTTTTTATTATTAAGGAAAATAGTTCCTTCAAAATTAATGTTTTCTTTCTTTTTTTTTTCTTCCCTATCTCAACCCCTGCCTCTTATAATTAATTTAAAATTAAAATGCTTTTAAGTTAAAGAATATTCCCCACTAAATGTTGAATTTTATTTTCAGCTGAAGGGGTTTTGTTTCAATTTTAATCAATTTTAACACTATAAACTGTCTTTAAATCCAAGTATTAAACTTGCATTTATTTTAATAACTGGAATATTTATTTTTTAAATTTAATTCTATGAACAAATATTTTAATGTTAAAATTCATGTTTAAATGGACTTTTGTATTATTTAATATGATAAAAAACATGAATTNAAACATTTATAGTATTTAAAATAAAAAATAAGATTTCTATAATAAGTATTTAAATTTTGAAACCTTTTCTTTTCGGTGGAAGGCGAAGACTAGCTATTTTGAGAGAATTGAAGAATTTTTTGATTTGTGCCTAAAAAGATATATTAACATTGTTAAACAAAGAAATAAATAAAAAAAAATGAGATTAATTTTTTATTTTGAGTATTGACATATACCTTTTTGCATTGATAAGGTAAGTTGGTAAGCTTTACTGTAAACAACTCCTTATATTTTTTCTGCAAAATAATAATATGGAAATTAAAAATTATAAAGCAATATCAATAAACAAGGCAAGAGCTCTTAACAAAAATCTATAGAGAATATTAGTTTCATTAGGACTAATTCTTTAAAAATAATATTGGTACATAGAGGAATAAGAGTGCATTTGTAAAAAGAAAAATATACAATTATATACTATACTATAATATAATATATAATAAACAATAATACACTAAATAATAATATACTTTAGGGGTGCACAGTCTGCGGCCCGCGGGCAGTATCATATGCTGGGAAATAATTTGTGCATCATTAAATTTTAACAGTAAAAAAATTTAATCAAGATAAGCTTCATAAAGTAATGTAACTTTTAATTAATTGTTAACATATAAATGTATTTATTGTAAATAGTAAATTGTCATGTTAAAAAAGTATTGGTCATAAAGAGTTGTAAATAAGTATCTTAATAGTTTTTTTTTTTTATTATTATTAAGGAAAATAGTTCTTTCAAAATTAATGTTTTCTTTCCTTCTTTTTTCTTCCCTATCTCAACCCCTGCCTCCTATAATTAATTTAAAATTAAAATGTTTTTAAGTTAGAGAATATTCCCTACTAAATGTTGAATTTTATTTTCAGCTGAAGGGGTTTTGTTTTAATTTTAATCAATTTTAACACTATAAACTGTCTTTAAATCAAAGCATTAAACTTGCATTTATTTTAATAACTGGAATATTTATTTTTTAAATTTAATTCTACGAACAAATATTTTAATGTTAAAATTTATGTTTAAATGGACTTTTGTATTATTTAATATGATAAAAAAAACATGAATTTTCCCATAGTTTTTTAGTCATTTAAATTTATTGAAATTTTTTTCTGATAAATTGATTCTAATTTTTTGATTCTGTTTTTCTCCCCAAGTAATCTGTTTTGAAGTTTCTAATTTTAAACATTCAAAAGTATTTAATTTTATGCAAACGTATTACAAGGTTAACTGAAAAATAATTTAGTGCCTAGAATAATGATGTTTATATAACAATTACTATATACAATTGCTGTCAACATGTCTGTCTAAATACTTTGGCACATGGCCCTTCATTGGTCTATCTGCTGTGCATGTCGCCCTACACTCAAAAAAGTTGCGCATCCTTAATAAACTTTAAAGGAATTTAGGAGCAAAAATTTTTTTGACATTTCAGCTCTATCCCCTGGTAATAGACTCAAGTAACTTTCTACATATTTATGCTTGCTTTTAAGTTTGATTTTAATTCGAAATTTTTATAATAAAAAGGAACATTAAACATTATTAAAGAAATCTAGCATTTTAATTGTAAGGATGAAAACGAATTTTAGATAATAGTAGTATGATTAGTACGTCATATAAAAATTAATAATGAATAAACCAATTTTTAAAAAAAAATTTATCAGTCAGTCAGACACTAAGTTAGGGGTGCTCAACCTGCGGCCCAAATGCGGCCCGCCAACCCTCGATGTGCGGCCCGCGGCAGCAATCTGAACAAAATGAAGAGAAAGAAATTAAATATTTGTTTTTGAAAAATAATAAAAAGAATTCGGTAATTTAAATTTACACTTTTAAGTTTTTGACGCACCCAATCTCAATCAGTGTAGTTTTTCGATGGTTAACGGTACGGATTTCAGCATAGTTTTAAAAATCGCAATATTTTTAATACATCATTATTACGATTTACGAATTTTAATTACCACTTTTGACGCTTTTCGTATGTGCCGATTCCAATGACTTTTCGGTAATTATTGCTACCCATTTTCAAGTAGTGTCTGAAATAGCGATTTTTGTGCTAACTTCATGGAAAATCTAAATGATTTTAGAGCCTTTCTTCAACAGTTATTGCTGCACATTTCCCCTTGGTTTTTAAAACTTCGATATTTTAGCACGATATTATTACGAATCGTGAATAAAGAATCGCTCATTTAGATAACCATTTTTTGACATGGTTTTTTGTAACGATTTTAACGCAAATCAAATTATTTTTCAATCGTTATTTTAGAAATTATTCCTACACATTTCTACAAGGTTTTGAAAGTACCGATATTTTTTATACGCTATTGCGACATTTTAATTTCAAATCTCGCATTTAAATTACATAAAATTTTGATGGACTTTATTTACTCCNTTCTGTATTATTCATGTTCTGTATTACAAATATTCTACTGTATTATTAGCAAAATTGAAGAAAGTTTTTATTAATTCAGAGGTAATTGTGAGCCCAACTCAAACATCCTGAAAATTTCTGGAGTAAAATCATTAATGATGTATTTTAAAAATATTAATGTCTTTATAAATTTAAATCATTGATATTTTCACAACATGAAATTCTTAATAAATTATATGCAGTATAATTTAAATGAATAATTATATATAAGTTTACTTTTATTTCCATTCATATTTATTATTCTACCAGAAAATATATTTACAAATGTAAGAGATGCCAAGTATAAATTGTAGTTCTAATATATTTAAATAAAATATACAAGAATATTTATACATAAATGTGATCGATGATTTCTTGAAATTTCTGGACCTCGGATAACGAAAACTTCTGGATCGTGATTAGTGAAAAATCCAGAATCATGGTCATCAATGACCTAAAAAACTATTACACACTTCATTCTAATACTCTGTAGTATACTCTAAATGTAGTCAAATACTCCATAATTTTTTTTCAATCAAAAAAGCTGTTCAAAAAGAAGGAAATAAAATTTCATCTTATACTTGCTGTATTAATGTCAATTGCACAAATTGATTGTAATGACAAGCTCACTATAACGAAAATTCTGTCTTCTTTTAGGAATAGTCGTATAACACACTTTTACTGTAAATTAAATAATTAACCTGTTTGCCTGTTGTTGATTTAAGATAATCTTTTTGATCTTCTTTTCTTTCTTCCTAAAAATAAATAGATTAAATAAATTTTATTAGTCTGTGCAAAGTTTTGCTAAATGAATATACTGCTTGATTTCCATACTTTTATAAAATTGATTAACGCAATTAAAATTAAGTTAATTTAAACTGGAATATATTAATTTCTTCTTTTATTCCTTCAACTTAAAAAACTTTTTTTGAAAGAATGAATTAAAAGTTCTGTTGGGATCACAAGCTTTTTAAATGGGTACTAAGCTGAAGTTAATTACCTGCATTAAATTCAAGCTAGTTAAATGAATAGAAAAAAAATCAATAACTTTAGCTTTTCGACATTTTCAAAATCTAAAACTATTCTATAGAATAGTTAGAATGAAACTATTCTATAAAAATTAATTCTACATTTCTTTCACTTAGCACGAAAATAATGAATTTGAAATATACTTTAAAATTAAGATTAACAAGGCTAAAAGAAAATTATTTTTTACAAAAGTGTTTTGTATTTATAACTCATCATTGTAATAAGTGATATCAGGAATCCAAAACTCATTCGCAAATTTTTTTATTGAACTAAAAAATATTCAGAATTAGAAAATTTTGTTAACTATTAATGTTTCAGTGGGTACCATTGAAATTTAACAATAATAAAAATACATTACATTTAATCCACATTTTTATTAAGCTACATTAATGCACACTTTATTATACATATCTTTGTTTTTAAATAGTTATTTATCATCCAAAATAGTTGGATTTAATTAAGAAAATTCAAATGAAGACGAGAATGTGATGGCTTTAGCAGCACAACGATTGTAAATGAACGGCAGATGGGGTTGGGTAAAAGATTCATTTGTCAATAACCATTTTAAGTTTTAAAAAAAACTTGAATGGTTTAAAAAATTTTCAACAGAAAGTGTTTACTCCAATTGAATTACTACTAATTTATGAATGTCTTTAGAACTCTTGACTATACCTTGAAAATAAAATTCATGAAAAATATATGTCACAGTGTTAATAAATATTTATTGAAATGGTGCGTATGCGCACCTTTGGTCAAAAATGGGTTGACATAAAACCGAATTTTAATTCAAGGTAATTTAAAATTACAGTGCACTTCTTACAGTGCAAATTCAAACTGGTTAAAGCTTTTATAGATATGTGATAAAAAAATAATAATAAATTAATGAAAAAATAACTTACAGAAATACTTTGTTGTTCCTCTTGACTTTGTTTTTTATCTGCATTTGAATGATCTAAAATGTAAATGAAAAAAAAATAATAAAATGAATTATAAATAATAAATTACAGATTAAACCAAATTATAAATTTAAGGCAAAGAAGAGTTCATATAACATGACCTTAAGTTTCATTTTTTTTTCTTATTGAAAAGTATGGGGAACTTATTAAAACAATTAAGAAGTCTCTAAACTGTTATACTTCTTTCTAAAACTTTCGTCTTCTAAAAACATATTATTTTGTGATCAGGTTTGTATAAGATTGTATTTCAGTTACATTCAGTGTTGAGTTCGGTTACATACACAGCCAAATCTCTCTCCAAAAAAAAATAAAAAAAATAAGCCCAATTAAAGTAGTACTTTTTAAGCACTCAAAAAATATTTTTAAGCACTATATACATTAACAAAAGGCAAAATTATTTTAAAGACCTTAAATGAGCACGTTAAAATAACTAGTTTCCGACATAGAACTCCTTTTCAATTGCTAGAAAAACTTAGAGAAAAATAGAAACAGTTGAACATACTTAAATAATGTTACAGTAAATGAAATAGTTAGGTATAGCTGAAATATCATCTCTAAATATTCCAAAGACTACACTCTAAGTAGTCACACTTTTTTAAACGACAAAAAATAAGAAGCAAAATTCCCAGTTTCTAAATAAAAACTCAAAATAACCTGCATTTTCCCTGTTATATTAGGTGATTTTTAAATTCCCAGTGCTTTCTGGGTTTTTCCTGTTCTCCCTGTGTCGTGGCAACCCTGTAAATTGTTATTTGGAATTGTCAATTGTTATTATTACTTTAAATATTCTGAGGACTTCCAGGTTAACAGATATATTAATTTTGAGCAAGTTAAAGTGGTTGGAATTTTGATATATGAAAAAAAAAAATATAAAGCTTTCCATAAAAATTTGGGAAACAAGCTTAACTTGTATTGGCGTCAGATTCGAAAGCAATTAGAGCACTTAAGCTATTCCAAAAGTAGATGAAATTTTGATTGATAACAAGGCTGACGGTACAATAGCATGATACTAAAGTTGAGATATAAATACTGCTTACAGAAGCGAGAAAGTAATTGAAACTTTTTATTAACATCCAGCACAGAGTTCCTGTCAAAATTTGTACTCAAAATTTGAGACTGGTAGAAATTTCAATGTGCAATAAGCGATTTTTGACAATAAATTTTGCAGGGTTGCCACTCTAATCAGTAAAAAAAATTAATTCCCTGTGTTTTCCCTGTATATATTATACACAATATATTGAAAGGAAACACAATTACTGCAATCTTGTGTGAGCTATATTAGGCTAACTATGCTAGTCTTAATTGCTGAAAAAACAGAGAGAAAAAAAGGAACAGCTGAACAGACTTCAATAATGCAATAGTAAAAAAAAAATAGTTTAGTACAGTTGGAATATCATCCTTAAATATCCTATAGATTACGCATTGAGACAAAATTTTTAAAAGACAAAAATAAGAAACAAAATTCACTGTATCTTCCCAGTCTGTAAAGAAAAAAAAAATCAAAATTCCCAGCATTTTCCAGGTTTTCCCTGTTTTGCTTGCAATGATCAAGAAACTTGTATTGTCATCAGACAATTAGTACCAGTGGAAATTTAAGTGCTCTAGTTAATCAAAATGTACGTCCCGGCAGCTTGAAGGAAAGGGCAATTGCATGATACAAAGGACAACATAACAAAAAGTAAACAGTTAATAGCATCAACCATTTAAAAATTTATTAGTTTCTTATTAACTACTTATTAGATTGAAAAATTGTAGCATTGAAGTTTTTTGTAACAATAATAAAAAAAATATTAAAATGTGATTATAGTTTGTATTTGTAACATCAGCCACATAAAAATTGCAACATCATTCAGAAGAGCTTTTTCTCTACTTGCCAATTTCTAGATGTTATTTCATGTATTTCTTATTAAATTGAAGTTTTTTTAAACTAGTTTTTATTTATTTATTTATAACCGTCATTGAACCGTCGACCCAATTTTTGGGATTAGGACTAAAAATGCTCAACTCCGTAGCCTTGTAATTTTCAACCCAATCCAGAAGACAAGGGAACTCCTGGATCAAGTATTTGGGAAAATGTGCCTTTGTGGAGGACTTTTTGATGGAACTAACCTGCATTTGTGTTACATGGAGAGGAAGACCACGAGAGCCTCCCAAGGTTAGCCTGACAAGGGGACTCTAACCCATGATTCGCCTACCATTTTGGATATTTCACGTCAGCACTGTGGTCGGTGCAAGCTGGATGCAGAATTTGTATTGACCAGCCATCTCTGGGATTTGAACCCGGTTCACCCCATTGGAAGGCGAACGCTTTGACCCCTTTATATAAGAATATAAAAATCCCTAAAAGAAGAATTTCAAATTAAAGACATAATGTTTTACTCCGTGTCCTTTTATGTAACCTGTCACATTTTATATTCTAAATAATGATATAATTTTCTTCCCTTTTTCATACAAGCATAATAATACTACGCTATAGAAAAACATCCCATATAATTTTACAAAATTATTAAATATTTATCAATGAAAAAAAGTTTAAAAAGAAGAAAATTTATCAAAATGTTATTGCAGTCACAGTGGAATTATTTGAAAAAACACCCAACTCTGAACGAGGTGAACCCAGGTTTGAATCTCAGTGACAGCCGGTCCCAGCGTTCAAACCTATGATTAGTACTGGCGTAAAATATTCTCAGTGGTAAAAGGATCATAGGTCGGGCTAGAATCTCTGTTCCATGAACATTGCAAATGCATGAAAAAATAAAAGTCATTCATGAAAATTAGTTTGCCCAGGAGTTCCTTTGTCTTCTGGGTTGAGTTCAGTATTGTGAGATGAACAGTGATAGTCATACACCCTAAATAAGGGTTGGCTGTTCAATGCTGATAAAGAAATAAACTCTGCTCATAACGGTCAGAAGGCAAATGAAATCTGCATAGTCATAAGACTTCAGAGTTTTTTTTGAATATTTGTGCTCTCTAGCAAGTCAGAAAGGGGTTGTTTTGGTAGCCTAATTTCTCTCATATACCAATGTGGAAATGCTCTTTATCTATGAATCTTTAGTTCTAGATTCAAAAAGTAACGAAGGTCCACTGTTTTGAATTCATTAAAATCATAGACCACAATGAATTGCTTTATTAAAACAATGATGAAATTTCAATTTACAGGAAGGTAATTTTGCATATTTCACTTAACAAATCTAATTCTAAGTCTTGTATTTGTTACATTTATTTTGTTTAATAAATTTTTAAGTAATTATTTATTTTAAATCTAATAACATACCTGCCAACATTCGAGAAATGAAATAAGGGAGATTTTTTGGCGACATTCTAGTGACAATTTTTGGGCTAAGAGTAAAGTTTTGATACATCATGCATAATCATGTAAGTCATAAAGATACATTCAAAATTGAAAATACTATAAGCACTTACATTTAGCACAATAAAAATAATGTTTATAAATCTTAACTTAAAATTTTTTTTAAAACCATTTATAATTACTTAAACTACTTTATAATCGTTGTAAAACAGTCTACTCAATTTTAGGTTGACGGCTACTAATGTTTAACTCCGTAGCATTGTAATTTTGAACCCAATCCAGAAGACAAAGAAACTCCTGGATCAATTAAGTATTAGGAAAATATTGCCATCATGGAGGATATTTTGATGGAACTAACCCACATTTGCTTTACACGGAGATGAAAAGCACCAAAAATACAGGTAAACAGGAAATAGTCGTAAAATACAGGAGTCCTTGTTAAAAAAGATACAGGAAACTTGGCAGGTATGCATTATTGATACTTAAATAATTAAATACTTACCAGAATTGTCTTCTTCTTCAGAGTCCTCTTGACTAGACTCTGAATCAGAACTACTTAAATCAACGTCTTCTCCCCACACAGGTTTAGATTTTCTATCTTGATTAACTCCAAGATATTCCTTGAATTGGGGATCATTTTTAAGCTGAAAAAAATAATAATTTTAAAACTGTATCAGCAGACATAGATAAAATAGAAAGGGAATACAAAATCATACTTAAAATACTTTCAGCACAAGCAATTAACTGATCCATGTAACCAGTTTTAACTCTTGACCCATGTAACTAGTTTAAACCCTGATGTTGATTATTATAAACCACTCAGAAATATTTCGAGGCTAACATTTAATAAATATTTTTATAAGAATCACTTTTCAGTTCTTCTATTCTTGCACTTCTCACTTTACAATATATACTAGTACAAAAAAAGAGCATTAAAACTGAATTGTTTCAACATATTTTATCATTGAAAGATGCAAGCTTGACTCAAATTACAAAATTTAATGTTGCCATCTAAGAAAAAGAGTGATATGTTTACAACATTATGTTATATTAAATTCAGGGTAAAATAGGGAAAATNAAAAAAAAAAAAAAAAAAAAAAAAAAAAAAAAAAAAAAAAAGCCCAATAAAAGTAGTACCTTTTAAGCACTCAAAAAATATTTTTAAGCACTATATACATTAACAAAATGCAAAATTATTTTAAAGACCTTAAATGAGCATGTTAAAATAACTAGTTTCTGACAAAGAACTCTTTTTAATTGCTCGAAAAACTTTAAGAGAAAAATAAGAACAGTTGAACATACTTAAATAATGCTACAGTAAATGAAATAGTTAGGTATAGCTGAAATATCATCTTTAAATATTCCAAAGACTACACTCTAAGTAGTCACCCTTTTTTAAAAGACAAAAAATAAGAAGCAAAATTCCCAGTTTCTAAATAAAAACTCAAAATAACCTGCATTTTCCCTGTTATATTGGGTAATTTTTAAATTCCCTGTGCTTTCTGGGTTTTTCCTGTTCTCCCTGTGTCGTGGCAACCCTGAAAATTGTTATTTGGAATTGTCAATTGTTACTATTACTTTAAATATTCTGAGGACTTCCAGGTTAACAGATATATTAATTTTGAGCAAAGTTAAAGTGGTTGGAATTTTGATATATGAAAAAAAAAATTAAAAAGCTTTCCATAAAAATTTTGGAAACAAGCTTAACTTGTATTGGCGTCAGATTCAAAAGCAATAAGAGCACTTAAGCTATTCCAAAAGTAGATGAAATTTTGATTGATAATAAGGCTGACAGTACAATAGCATGGGCAATAAGGGTGAGATATAAATACTGCTTACAGAAGCGAGAAAGTAATTGAAACTTTTTATTAACAACCAGCACAGAGCTCCTGTTAAAAGTTGAACTGAAAATTTGAGACTGGTAGAAATTTCAATGTGCAATAAGCTATTTTTGACAATAAATTTTGCAGGGTTGCCACTCTAATCTGTAAAAAAAATTTATTCCCTGTGTTTTCCCTGTATATATTATACATAATATATTGAAAGGAAACACAATTACTGCACTCTTGTGTGAGCTATATTAGGCTAACTATGCTAGTCTTAATTGCTGAAAAAACAGAGAGAAAAAAAGGAACAGCTGAACAGACTTCAATAATGTTATAGTAAAGAAAATAGTTTAGTACAGTTGGAATATCATCCTTAAATATCCTATAGATTACGCATTGAGTAATCACCATTTTTTAAAAGACAAAAATAAGAAACAAAATTCTCTGTATTTTCCCAGTCTGTAAAGAAAAAAAAATCAAAATTCCCTGCATTTTCCAGGTTTTCCCTGTTTTGCTTGCAGTGATCAAGAAACTTGTATTGTCATCAGACAATTAGTACCAGTGGAAATTTAAGTGCTCTAGCTAATCAAAATGTAACAAAATGTACGTCCCGGCAGCTTGAAGGAAAGGGCAACACCCAACTCTGAACGAGGTGAACCCAGGTTTGAATCTCAGTGACAGCCGGTCCCAGCGCTCAAACCTATCATTAGTACTGGCGTAAAATATTCTCAGTGGTAAAAGGATCATAGGTTCAGGCTAGATTCTCTGTTCCATGAACATTGCAAATGCATGAAAAAATAAAAGTCATTCATGAAAATTAGTTTGTCCAGGAGTTCCTTTGTCTTCTGGGTTGAGTTCAGTATTGTGAGATGAACAGTGATAGTCATACACCCTAAATAAGGGTTGGCTGTTCAATGCTGATAAAAAAATAAACTCTGCTCATAACGGTCAGAAGGCAAATGAAATCTGCATAGTCATAAGACTTAAGAGTTTTTTTGAATATTTGTGCTCTCTAGCAAGTCGGAAAGGGGTTGTTTTGGTAGCCTAATTTCTCTCATATACCAATGTGGAAATGCTTTTTATCTATGAATCTTTAGTTCTAGATTCAAAAAGTAACGAAGGTCCACTGTTTTGAATTCATTAAAATCATAGACCACAATGAATTGCTTTATTAAAACAATGATGAAATTTCAATTTACAGGAAGGTAATTTTGCATATTTCATTTAACAAATCTAATTCTAAGTCTTGTATTTGTTACATTTATTTTGTTTAATAAATTTTTAAGTAATTATTTATTTTAAATCTAATAACATACCTGCCAACATTCGAGAAATGAAATAAGGGAGATTTTTTGGCGACATTCTAGTGACAATTTTTGGGCTAAGAGTAAAGTTTTGATACATCATGCATAATCATGTAAGTCATAAAGATACATTCAAAATTGAAAATACTATAAGCACTTACATTTAGCACAATAAAAATAATGTTTATAAATCTTAACTTAATTTTTTTTTTAAAACCATTTATAATTACTCAAACTACTTTATAACCATTGTAAAACAGTCTACTCAATTTTAGGTTGACGGCTACTAATGTTCAACTCCGTAGCATTGTAATTTTGAACCCAATCCAGAAGACAAAGAAACTCCTGGATCAATTAAGTATTAGGAAAATATTGCCATCATGGAGGATATTTTGATGGAACTAACCCACATTTGCTTTACACGGAGATGAAAAGCACCAAAAATACAGGTAAACAGGAAATAGTCGTAAAATACAGGATCCTTTATTAAAAAAGATACAGGAAACTTGGCAGGTATGCATTATTGTTACTTAAATAATACTTACCAGTATTGTCTTCTTCTTCAGAGTCCTCTTGACTAGACTCTGAATCAGAACTACTTAAATCAACGTCTTCTCCCCACACAGGTTTAGATTTTCTATCTTGATTAACTCCAAGATATTCCTTGAATTGGGGATCATTTTTAAGCTGAAAAAAATAATAATTTTAAAACTGTATCAGCAGACATAGATAAAATAGAAAGGGAATACAAAATCATACTTAAAATACTTTCAGCACAAGCAATTAACTGATCCATGTAACCAGTTTTAACTCTTGACCCATGTAACTAGTTTAAACCCTGATGTTGATTATTATAAACCACTCAAAAATATTTCGAGGCTAACATTTAATAAATATTTTTATAAGAATCACTTTTCAGTTCTTCTACTCTTGCACTTCTCACTTTACAATATATACTAGTACAAAAAAAGAGCATTAACACTGAATTGTTTCAACATATTTTATCATTGAAAGATGCAAGCTTGACTCAAATTACAAAATTTAATGTTGCCATCTAAGAAAAAGAGTGATATGTTTACAACATTATGTTATATTAAATTCAGGGTAAAATAGGGAAAATATAGAGTTTTTTCTCTCTTTATAATGAGTTAAACTAAAAAAATTTCTGTGATGCTAGCAAAATTTACACAAACTGTGTCTGCGTATGTTATGCATATCTTCGTGCCAGAAAAAATAAAATACTANCTTTCTTAATTAAAGGATGAGATTAGCCAAAAGGCAAAAAAGCTGAATTTCCACGATAGTAAATTTTACGCAAGCGCAACCCTTTAATAATAATTTCCAGACAGTTTAAGGTAATAAATAATGTGTTGACATACAATTGTTTACTAATCTATTATTATATAAATGATTACATTGATTCTTAACATTTAGTGAAAATAAAGATTACCAATTGAAAAAATAAAGCTGGAAATTATATTTTTCCTCAGTTCACATAAGAGACAATTATTACTTGAAAAACTACCTGGTTTAGCAAATTAAAACTACTGAGAATATACATTAATATTTCATTTCTTTTAATAAATACTGTTATGTGATTTATAGCAAATATATCAGTAATATTACTTTTTAAATTATATTGGAAAAAAAAACTTTAACAATGGACCGAATCATTATGTTCATATTATAGTCTAATCTAACTAGAGCCCTCTGAAACATATCAATAACAGTGAAGTAGAAATATATAGTAAGTCCTTAACATACAAAAATTACAATGACAATCAGCAACTGCTTAGATAATTGTTTTTTATTTGATAAGAATTTTGCATTTTGTAGCATAAATAACAGCAATTATAAATAAAATTTTGATGATGATGAGTTAGTTAACTCTTTTTCAAAGAAAAAATTTATTAAATCCCTTTTTAAGTGATTGCTTTTGTTTGCTATATTTAGTCGTTAGTCCATCTTCAAACATCTTGTGACAAATCCTATTTTTTCTTCTTTGCAAGCACAGAATGTAAGTTTTGAATATATTCCCTTCCAGTTTCTCTGATGTTGCAACACTTACATATTCTACTAATCGTCGTTAGAAAAACAATCATCTTTATGGTAAAAATTTTTAAAAAAAAAAAATTACTTCTTACAAGAATCGTGGCAGTTGATTGTAAAATTAGGTGAATATGAATAACAATTATGGGTTTTGAAATCACATGAATATGAAATTAGATATCCGATTTTGAAAATGAAAAAATACAAACTGGGACATAGAATTTTTAAAACGCATAAATACAAATCACGATTCATAATTTTCAGGTGGCGTAAATATGAATCATGATGCATAATTTTTAGATAGCATAAATAAGAATTATGATGCATAATTTTTAGAATGCGAATCCCAGTGCCTTATTTTAAAATCACGTATAAATACGAAAATCAATGCTTGATATTATAAACCGCATGAACAAATCAAGACATTGAATTTTAAACTTGTGTGAATACGAATTGCTACATAGGTTTTTAAAAAGGCGTAAATACGAATCACAATATCGGATTTTTAAATCTCGTGAATAAGAATCGCAATACGCAAATATGAAAAGCTATGTTTGATATTAAAATCGTGTGAATAAGAATCGAGATATTAGCAGATTCCAGGCTTGGGACCTCTAAAGGCTTGTCAGAAGCAGCGTCGTTTGAACTACGAAGATCGGATCTATCTGGAGGGCGGGTAAAAAATTCGAAAAATCTTATCTGCTGCGTGTAAAAGGGGAAAAATAGTTAAAATAAGTAAAAATGAGAAAGGATTGGTAGCTATGTAGTTTGAATTTTCTGTTTCTCTTTGAAAATCAGTGACTTTTCTGAAAAAAGCGGAATACTTATAAAAAAAAGTGAAATTTTTAGGAAATCTGAATTTTTGATAAAAAAAAAGCTGAAATTCAAGAGATAAAAGTGAAAAAAGCGGAAATCAGCTAAAATGCGGAAAAATCTCATCCCTGGTATATATATGTATATATATATACACACATATATACACTTTTCTTTAATTAAAACTTTACTCATAATTAAAAAAAAGCATTATAATTTTTATTGTATCATTTCTAATGTTTGAAGGCGCATTTTAAGAATTTGGCGGCACACAAAAGTTCCACGACACAGTGGTTGAGAATCACTGGTCTAACCAATCAGAGAATTCCATTTTGTTTTTTTGCTCATCCCTATTTAATTATAGAAATAAAATATTTGAAAAAACTATCTGAAAAAACATCAAGTGTCATCCACTACAAGTTTAAAAAAAAATGTATTTGAAGTAGAGTGAATGAATAAAAAGTATTTTATTAACGATTGAAAATTTGAACAAGATAATAGGGAGAGTCTAATAATAGGAATTGAAAAAGAAATTTAAGGTATAACTCAGTCTTACTTCATCAGGTACAAAATCATTTTTTTTCAATGACTTAACATTCACATCCTGCAAATAAAATGTAAAGATTAATTGATGAGGTTGATTTGAAACCTTGTGACAAATTAATAACAAATGTACAAAGATGAGTAATAAACTATATAAACCATTTTGATGTACACAGTAAGTAGTATTTTTATATTTAGATATGATAAAATTTTTAATTGAAAATATTATTTCAGAAACTGAAAAATGAAGAAACTTTAGCAAGTTTTCTAAAAATAAATAAATCAAATAAATAAAAATCCAATATATACTTAAAAAAAACTAAATGAATACTAAAATCATTAATCTACAAAATTGTTCTTACAGAAAATAGTAATGGTATAATGAGCGGCACTTGAACCGTTTTGCTGCAGATGGAAGCATTTTAATGTAGTTGTAACCAATTTTAATAATTATCTGTGGTAAATTTTTTTCAACATAAAAATTTTTTGAGAAAAATGGTGAAATTATAATAATTGAAATGTTTCATATAAAAATAAAACAATAAAAACTACAGATTGTGAAATCCATACATAACCCAAACAAAAAATAAAATAAATAAACAAATGGAAAAAAAACCTACAGCTTTACTACAGAATGCATATAATAATGAATGGTTTAAAACTATTTTAATATGAACAGAATATATCAATGAATAGAAATATGGTAAATTTTTTATTGAAAATATTGTTAGAGACACATAGGAAAATTTTAAAAAGTGGTATGGTTTCCTTAAAAAAACAAAAAACAATAAATATAATAATAGTTGGAATCAAATCTGAAGGTGAACTGTTTGTACCTAATAAAACTCTTAAGATGCCCAGTTATGTTACTTTCCGTAACTTAAATAATTTACTAGCAAAGAATGCCTAGGCATTGTATATAATGCCAAGAACTAGCTGACAATGCATGAAACGTTCAAACATTTCCTAGGGAATTTTGTGGAATGTCAAGTGAAAATCTAGCAATGTATTAAATTCGTTTCAAATGTAATGCATATGTAAATGTAATGTAATTCAAAATTTTCTTCAAGCCTACCATGTTGAAACACTGTTTTTCAATTTCGTATTTTTGATTTGAAAATTTTATTTCCCTTAATAAGGAAGGCATAAATTTTGTTTCATAAAACTTTAATTTCAGATTATATATTTTTATTTAAATTTTTTTAGTGGCCCTCTCATTAATTCTGCAGTATAACATTTGTATTTTTAAGGAATGCACATCATTTATATAACAGCTTTATCAGGACCTTTTTGTATACCTTGCATTTGACATTCTATAGAATACCTAGGGAAAGTATATAATAATTCTCAAATTTCACACTTTGTCAAAAAAACATCCAACATTATATACAAGCATTTTATAGAATAACAGTGTTTCATATTTTCTTTGACAACTCATATAAAGTCTAACCAAAGCTAGCAGTAATGTAGGCAGAGATTGGTAAAACACAACTGTTTATTAATTTAAATATTAATATTTGAAGAGAGCATCAAATCTGAGCAAAATTGGTGCGTTTTGCATTTTATATTAGGAATTATGCTGTAGGAAAATTGCTTTTCTTTCCCTTTATTGATTCAAAGCTCTTTGGGAGCTAAGGCCTTTAGAATTTTGGGTCTTTAGAATTTAATTCCATTCTACTCTTTTCTTAACTAGTTTGGTTCTATATAAGATAAGCTTTGTTCTATATAAAGAAAATTAAACTAGAAACATTTAAGGGCTCCTCAGATGCCCCAAGTTTGGAGATATTACTTGGAGAGCGAATTTATTGCTTGTTCATTGGAATTGTATTTAAAAAAAAAAACTGGAAGTTTAATTTATTAGAGTTACATGTATTTTATCATCAGAATGGTAGTCAAGTTTCGCTGAATGCCATGTCAATTGCGAAAGTTTTGAACAAACACGCCGTGCTGCTAGCAAATCTAAATCATTTTCCTGTAAAATTTGAGAAAAAGTTTAATTTATGTCATGAAGAGTTAGAGAAAAGAGGACTTATCCCTAAGTGATAATGTGGATTTTTCTTTTAGGGACTAACTTATAAAGTAAGTTACTGGGCAGCCCTCAAATAAATAATTTCATCCAATTGCAAAGAAGTCTAATATATATTTTTTTAAATTTTTACTTTTGTCTGCTCTTTTTCCTTTGATTTCTTGAATTCTAAAGATTCTTTCCAGGACTTTGGCTTATTTGCATCCCCCAAATTTGAACAAATCTCCACCTGCGAAGAAAAAATATTAATTACAACTGTAAATTTGTGATAAAAAATAATTTACAATAATTTTAATAAATAATCTTAAATAATAATAAAATAATTTTAAAAACCACATAACTAACATAATACTTTCCACATGACTAACATCAATAAGCATTGAAATTATAACATCACAATTACTAAATGTAGATATACTAATTCAAGGTGTGAACTTATTAAAGAAATTTTCTTCAATTAAAGAATTTTTAAAACATATGTAGATCAAGGTTAGTTATTTAACCAAAGATATAAGTTTTTAATTTATGTTGAGTAAAATACATTGAGGAAAAGAAAATCCCAACACCAAGAAAAATTTATTGTAGAGTAATGAAATTTCGGCAATGCCTTTGTTTGAGTAACATATTTAATTGATTAAACCTTCAAGATCATAGGTTAATGCAATTAAGAGAAAAACCATTTCAAATGTGAAATACTGGTACATTAATAACCAGTGTACCACAACTGTACTGGTACATTAACAGTACTGGTACATTAATAACCAGATATTTGAATGCAAGCATGCATTGTGTCATGCAGATGCCGTACGTCATTTTGTGGAATGGATCACCATGCCTGTTGCCCTTCGTCAGTTAATACAGAGATAGTTAATGTTAATTGTGGATGACGTGTCCCATATGTGTCCGATTGGTGCAAGATCTGGTGATCTAGAAGGCCAAGGCAATGTGTCGACATTCTGTAAGAGTATGTTGGGTTACAACAGCAGTATGAGGATGAGCATTATCCTGTTGGAAAATACTACCTTGAATGCCACTCATGAATGGTGACAAAACAGGTTGAATCACCAGACCGACATACAAATTTGCAGTCAAGGTGAATGGAATAAGCGTGAGAGTGCTCCTGCTGTCATAGCAAATTGCTCCCCAGACCATAATTCCAGATATAGGTCCAAAGTGTCTATAAACTCACCTGGCCTCCTTCTAATCTATATACAGCTTTCACTAGCACCAAAGTAGAACCGACTTTTATCAGAAAACACAATAGATCTCTACTCTGTCCTCCAATGAGTTCTAACTATTGGCGAAGATCTGGGAAATATCCTTGAGCATGGTCCGAAGACATACCATCCTAGTTTCGATCCTCTGTGGAAGGGAATGATCCTTTGCTTTTTCACCCCACCATCCCGAGCATGAAGTCAAGTGCTTTACAGTAAAACGGTTTAACGAGGACCAATATCGACCACCCTCGATCTGTTTGGAGGCTGATCTAAGTGATCACCCATCCGATATATAAATGATCCAATATAGAGAACAAACATTTTGAAATATATCAAAGTATTAATAAATCTCGTGATGGCCAAAATTTGACCATTTCTAAGTTGGACTTTATTTATATCAATGTTTCTTTATTGATGTAAAATGTACTCATTGATACAAAATTTATTCATTGATTTTAAGTACCAGGTACTTTAACACACAGTCAAGTACCAGGTACTTTAACACATATTTTTTTTAATGTTAAGTATAATACAATTAACTATGTCAATTTGTATATTTAATAGTTCCATTATTTTCAACACATATTCTAGTTTATTCTAAAATTGTGTAAAGTCAAATGAATTTTTATTCCTTTGTTAAAGAAAAATCAATTAACAACATAAGCTTTGTTTTCTAAAAATATTTTGAAAAATTTGCAACAAAAAAAAAACACTATCATTTTAAGCATAGCTGCCAACACGGAAAGGAAAAAATCCAGTAGATTTTACGAAATAATATAAATTTCAAGATAATTATTGCAAAATATACTAAATATTTTACATATAGGGAATTTTAAGGATTTTTGAAGTTATCAAAATAGAAAAACTGCAATATTTTAAAGTTATGATTTTACATTAAATGATCTTGAAATGTTATGTATTATGTTTATTCATAATTTTGAATAGTTTCATAATTAATAGGCATTAATTTCGTCAAAGATAGTTAACTGAATTTTATAAATGAGGCTTGCTTTATTGTGTAATAGTGACACTTATTTAATTATTTAAACAAGCAATAATCTTCATAAAAATTCTATTTCAATGGGGATTTTTTAAGGAAACTTACTCAATTTTAGGGAGTTTTCTAAAATGTACAATAGGCAGAGGAATTTTTATTAAACCAGTAGACCCGGAGAAACTGTTAAAATTCAGTAGAGTTGCCAACTTTACTGGATTTTACCAGTATATTTCAAATTAAAAAAGTTGAGTTCCAAAAAAATAATAGGACCTGAGAATTTTTAGCACCCCAGTTTTCAAATACAAAATACAGAACATCATAATATCACTCATTAATATAGTCTAATTAATTTCAGAAATGTATATTCTAATAGATCAAGATGGCAAAAACTTATTGGGATGGCCTTGGCCTGTCATAGGCTGTAGTGCCCAAGAAAAAGAATATATATTTTGGCGAATGTAACTATTCACTCTGTCAAATTAGAATTTAGACCTAAGCCTATTCAGGTTTTCATTCATTTTGGTTTAAAAATTTGGTTTGGTCAAAAAAGTTTAAAATCAGGGTAGGGGTTTTGGACAGCACATAAACTGTTCTAAACTGCCTTAAACTGTCAGAAACCTTGAACATTTTACCCTTGTGGCAGAATTTTTTCGAGCTATCTGTGACAAAACTCTCTAGGAATAAATATCTTTCTGCAAAATACTTTTTAATAATAACAAACATAAATGTCACTATTTTAAAATAACAAAAGCGCTGTGTTTACAAAAAACAACAACTATATAATCTTTTTTAATTGAACACGTAATAATTTTTTATTCTAATATTATGTGCGATATTCTCGGATTTTGTTGAGGGAGGGGGGAGAATGCCCAAATTATTTTCTTCACAATTTGTAAATAATCATCACAATAAAAAAGTAATTAAAAATCATGTAATCTGTGTAGTAGTAATTGCCGAAAAAGGTTGACGAAGAAATCTCGCGAATCAAACTCCTCAAATGCGTGTTTCGTTTCGAGATTAGGTTGTAATATTATTGAATAAAATATATCGAATTTAGAAACTATGGAGAAATCAATAGCAATAACTGCCAAAAATTCGATAAAATTATTGTCCTAAAAAGTATACACTCAAATGCACGATTCGAATTTTCCATATTGCTTAAAATATATCGGGATATTTAAAAACCACATGAAAATCAATGTCAATAATTTCCGAAAATACAATCAAAACACTTTATTGATTTGCCATACTATTCCCGATAATTGAGAGCAGCAAAATGTGATTATCTAAATGCATGATTAAAATACTATGTGTAAATTTCTGTAGAAAAGAAAAGTATATATATATTTTTTACTTTTCAAAAGAAAAATCTTTCTCCAAGAACTCTGCAACTTTCTGCGACAATGTCGCCGTGCTGCTACGATTCTGCCACGAGCCAATGTATACGTAATATTTACATTTATTAATAAATGTGTGATACTTTTCATACAATTTAAATTATTAAAGGAAAATAATATGCAATAGCAAAAGATTAATAACATTTGAAACTGCACAATTCATTTAATAACAAAAGTGAATACATTATCCATTAAATATGCTTTTGATACAGATAAATTATGTTTTAGCATAAGGATAAATAAAGCAATATTAAAAATAATAAACTTTTTTTATAAAACAAAAACTTGTCTTCATTTCGTTACTTGTTCAAAAAAACTTTTTACAGGGGTCTGTCCAGGCCAAATTTACCACCATTTAGCAGTACCTTAACAAATTTAACTTCAGGAAAAACAATAGTTTCACGAAATACTCTTTGTTAAAATTTTATTTTTCAATCTCGTACGAAACGATAAATCCATATTTTTATGTTGATTTGTAAATATAATCTTTCCGATTATGTTTGAATTTTCACAAAAAAGGTACCTCTCAGAAAAACTTAGAGAGACCTAAGTTTTATTTTTCATATTATTTTTTTCAAAATTGTGACATAATTTGAACAAAAGGGTTTTGGACAGTTTTGGTCTGGATGGTTTACACTGTGGATTAATCCATTCTGTCCTAAACCTTGCCAAATCTGTTTATAATTACTATTTACTATGCTTTCAATTGAGTTGATATAACACATTATTTAAAAATCACGGGGAGTTAAACTTTAAATTTGATAATCACTGCAATAAAAAAAAGTAAGAAAATAAATATAATAGGATAAATACCTGGATTTTAGAAGTATGAAAAAAAGTATTATGAAAGATTTTCTTAGCATTAGTTGCTTCCTCTTCAGTCTTATATCCAATAAAGGCAAACTGACGAAAAATTCCTTGCTTGTTATACTTTAATTGTAAGTCTGTAATTTCACCATTTGCCGAAAAAACCTCTTCTAATTTCTTTGCATTAATCTAATTTTTTAACAGAGAAATACATTTTTAAGTAACAAAATAAATTTATTATAAACTTTATGTATAACTTTTTCTAGGAAGTGACCAAAAAAAAAAAAAACTTTATAATACTTTAGGGCGGGGGTGGCGAACCTTTATGCACCAACGTGCCATTTTTTTCAAAAAATTGTTTAATGGGGTCATAGACGTGCTGTCATATAATTTTGACTTCGTGATTATTGGGAAAATAATAATACAGTGTTTTCACTACAGCGCGAGAATGCGAGAATCTCGCATATTTTTTTCTTTTCTCGGAGAAATTCGCGTATTTCTCGCATTTTGGAAAAAAGCTTCGATTTACGCCATTTAAAATAAAATCAGTTTCACTTTTCTTCCTGGATCTTTCATTATTTTCAACATTTGCCCCGTTATCTAGCTTCTTTATTTATCAGTATTGTTCAGAACCTTTTCGAACAACAGAACACAACCCCTCCGAATCCCTTTTGGAACACATTTCTCTGCAACAGTGTTTACCGTAGGTAAAGTTTTTTCATGTAAGACGTTCAAATTTTTTATGCACTAATGTAATATGGATAAATACCTATTAAAGGCAAAATCTTCTATGATGATGCAGCAAAAATATTCAATGCTTTAAAAAATAGAAGACGTTAAAAATGTAATATAATAAAAAAAATGATTTTTTTTTAAAAGTCTATTTGTGTTTTTTTAGTTTTTAGAAATCTCACTTAACTTTCTGAAATCTCACCCTGTTTTTGAGAAAGGGTGAGAAATTCTCACCCATTTTTTTTCTATGATGAAAACACTGTAATACTAAATACTATCAACTCAAAACTCTTTATTTACTATGAAAAAAAAAATACATTTTGCAATGTCTCAGTTATAAGCGTAATTCAACTTAAAGTAACATCAGTGTGACTTCTGTTATTGCAGATTAGATGACAAATAGCTTATATTAGGTTGTAAGATGTTAGTTTAAGCAGGACTGTTCAATCTTCTTTGCTAGTTATTTATTGTTAGCTTGTTTTTTAGGGTTATTAATTGTTTTTTTTTTGGAATTAATTGTAAATTTGTTTGTTAATAATTGTTTTTTTTTGCTTGTTTTTTGTGAATTTCAATTTAATTGTTAATATGCTTTATAGTGAACTTTGTGATCGGTGGCGTGCCCAGAATATATTGTGTCACACGCCGTAAAGGGCACGCGTGCCATTGGTTCGCCATCTCTGCTTTAGGGAATGAATCAATGAAGGAATGAATTTGATTATCAAATTCTGAATCAGTGAATAGAAAATCAATAAAAATTGTAAAAAAAAAAAAAATATTCAAAAATCATAAGAATAATCAGAAAATATATTACAACTTTAGTAAAACTTTAAAAAAAATAACCTTAAAATTATTTTCATGAAACTAGTGAAGTGTAATAAACAAAAAAATCATATCTAGTAAATTTTTTAAATAGATTAAAAGTTTTTATAATTATTTTTTAAAGAGTTTGATCTTGCATAAAATAGATATTATAGCTCATAAAGGAATAGTCTTAAATTATTAATAACATGTTTTATGTTGAAATAGAATTAAGTTTCCATACTATTTAGTAAAAAAATAAGATTATTTTAATTTAAATTCATGTGCACTTCATATTTTAGATTTACATAGAAGAAATTTTAAACGTAATACAGCGCGCCTTCACAGAGCTAAATCAATAAGAAAATAAAATAAATAAATATATCGTGAAGAAGAAGAAGAGAAAAATTCAATCGACATAAAATAAATTGTTAACTTACATCTTTAGGTAAATTTTTTACAACTATTCGAGACATATCTAAAATGAAAGAAAAATATTAATATTGTAGAAAATGGAACAGCTGATATACTTTATAATAACATAAAACTTAAAAATATTGCCTTAAATTAATATATTCGATAAAATTTATTGATAATAATTCTTTAAGGCCCACCAAAATAAAATAAAAATAAACGTGATTGGAATGTTTACAAACATGAAGCACTTCAAACACGGTCGCGAGCAAGGCAAACATTCCACAAGTTTTTATATGAGTTTTGCTTCACTAAAGATCCATCCTCAATAGGTGATCGCAACGCTCGAATACGCCATCTGGGGAGAAGGCCGGTTCCAAGAAAAAAGAAGAAGAAGGGGGGAAAAAAACCGGATCACACTAAATAATTTTTGTTCTAATGATCGAATCCGGATCAACAAGTTCTCGACATTATCTTATAACTATAGTGTGTAGGTTTGGACCGAGAAGTTCCGGCGCGTTCAGGCGAGTATGAAGTCTGACGTGGAAGTGGTAGACGGCCGTTTTGTTCTCTCATCGTACTCTACACTCGTTCAGTCGTTTCGGGACTTTTCGTATCACTCGTGCAGATTTTAGTATAGAACGTAGTGTCCCCGCAATTTGTAGAATAAATACAATGGAGATTCTTTTTATTATTTTTTTAATCCTCACTCTTAGTGCTGCATTGTTTTAACCCTTTAAATCAGGGGTGTCAAACTCAAAAGCTAACTTGGGCCAAATAAACAATGCTTAACTTTAGGTGGGCCGCAAAAAAAGAAAAAGAAAAATCAGTGTTCATAGAAACAGATATTTTTATTTCGAATAGTACGTTGTAATAAACATACATAAAGTTAAATTATTGTTTGATACTTGACATTTCTTCTCTGCTACTATCTTTCCTATTTCGGGAGAAATTCTATTGGCCGAGACTACTTTCAAAATTGACCCAACGTGAGCGTTATTAATACGGTTTCGGACAGGAGATTTATTTCCATTCATANTTTTAACCCTTTAAATCAGGGGTGTCAAACTCAAAAGCTAATCTGGGAAAAATAAACAATGCTTAACTTTAGGTGGGCCAAACTTCCAAACATGGAAATAATTTCTTATGCCAATTTTCAAGTATTTTCAAACCTTGCCGGTAAATATTTGCTAAATTCAGGCATGCCCACTTCAATGAATTTTGCGTTCAAATTTGAGTCGCACTGAATTTCAATCACTTCCATTTGCATATTACTGGGTACTGAGTCTATATTTATTGAGAAAATCGAAGGAAAAAAACAAAATTTGTCTTCCAAAGAATTAAAATCTTTAAGTCTTGTTTCAAATTCTGTTCTAAGATTTGAAATTTTTTCTGCGTATTTTTGATGCGATGCAGTATCCCTGGAATGGCAGGTGCCGCAAGTCAATTAGAATCTTACATTTTCGCATGTACAATTTAAAGTGATCCGTATAGTTTATAAATAAAGTATATTATAATTTTATATGCTAGTTTGCTTTCTAATTCACATTTCTATTTTATTTTTACTTTGCGTCGGATATATTGACTGGATCGCAAAAATTTTCATCTCGGGCCGCGAGTTTGACACCCCTGCTTTAAATGAACATCTCAGATTGCAACTCTATTTTAATTTTTTAATGATCTAAGAGTTAAGACTAGCTTGCGCTTTTAATTCTACCGTATAGTTTTAAATATCTAGCTCAGTTCAGAGCCCTTAAACAACTTCTGTAACCTCCGTTCGAGTTGAAAAGTCATACTTATCGATAGGCTGATTACTAGTTTAATATCCCTCTTGCAGCCAGAGCCGTTTTTGTGTTTATAGGGGCCCTGGGCCTGTCATAATCTGGGGGCCCTCTATGAGTAAATTTAGAGAAAAAATTTAATTTTGAATAATTTTTAAAAATAATTTTATTTTAAGAGTAAAAAACGTATAAATTAATTATAAAAGCTTATATACATTATTTTTATCGAAAATTTAAGATAATAATACTTTTCGCGCTTTTTGAGAGACGAATCTTCTATCACATCATCAAAATCAATTTCCTGTAAGACATACAGTTTGATTTGCAGCTCAAAATCTGTAAGACTTAGAAACATCAAATTATGAAGGTGTGTAGAAAATATGCAAGGAGTTAGAAAGAATACAAGAAAATACAGTTTAAATATTGTTTTTTTCATTTTTATAATAGTTGAAAAACGGACTTAATTTTGAGCCAATGTTTAACTGGTGGAACTCACGTAGCCAAGAAATTTTAAAACTAATCCAGAAGACGAGGAAAGTCCTGGATCAGTTCCCAGAGGTATTGAATTTTTATGAGAACTTGGAGGAGTTTATAACCCCAACAGATTTAACATGCACCAGTCCCCATTTTATGCATGAGTATTATTCGTCAGGCCGAATTCGTCCATAGTCCTACCCAACCAAGCTATTGTGGCCAAATTATTAGTTTATTTTATAACAGTCATTGAACAGCCCACCCAATTTCGAGTTTACGACTACTAATGTTCAACTCCGTAGCCTTGTAATTTTAAGCCCAAACCATCATACAAGAGAACTCTTGGATCAAGTATTGGAAGAAATGCTTGCCTTCATGGAGGACGTTTTGATGGAACTAACCCGCATTTGCGTTGCATAGAGAGGAAGAACACGAGTACCTCCCACGGTTAGCCTGGCAAAGGGACTCTAACCTCTAATCGAGGATATTTCACGTCAGAACTGTGGTCGGTAAAAGCCGGGTGTGAATTTCATATCGACCAGCCATCACTGGGATTCGAACTCGGTGCACCTCATTCAGAAGAGAATGCTCTATCCCTTGAGTGCATCTTCATTGAGTAATAACTCTGCGGCAGGTGCCAATTTTCCAATTTTATTGATTGGTACCAATTCTATTGATTTGCCTAAATTTAGTCATCTTCAAAATGTAAATGGTAATTCAATCATAATTTTTGTAGGAAAAAAAATGGAAATAAACCGTTTTTTTCTTAATCTGCAATGAATGCAGAAGCAACCACGAGGGTTAGTGAGCAAAATGAACAGGAAGCGGAGCCTTCTAGTTTTTTAAATAATTGCTAAATTATTAGTTTTTAACGTGCATACTTAAAAAAAAACAAGAAAATTTTTTTTCAGTATTAATAAATAAGAATTAAAGACTGTCATCAGCTGGAATAGAACCCACGATCTCACAGTTTTGTGTTAGATTTCATAATCATCAGCCCCAAATATACACACCTGCCTTGCGGATATTTTTTAATTTTTTTTTTTAAATTTAATAAATAAAGTCATTTGGATACTTGACATTCTTGAAAAATGCTTTCCAAATTACCATTTTTAACATTTATAACAAGTATCTTCAGTTCATTTAGAAGTAAACCATAATTCGGCCTTCATTTTCAGCTTATGTATATACACCAAAAATAAATTCAAAACTAGACTGGATATAACACAAGGACTTCAAATTTAACTGTCGGATATAAAACCTTATTTCAGATTGATAATGATAAAACGATGAAAAATCTACATTCCTCTAATTAAATATTTTAAAAATAGTCTGTTCGTAAGTTATAATGTTCGTAATTAACTTAATAAACTTTAATCCTAATGTCGGGGTTCCACCGGTAGAAGACATTTAATATATCAATGGAACACACTAAAGCTTTATATCAATTAGCAATTAGTTTTAGAATTATAATTATAGAATAATTATTTTCATTATAGAAAGAAAGGTTTTAAAAGACAAATATTTGTTAATGCTTAATATTCAATCAAAGAAAAAACATAACCCACATTGAAATCTAACGAATAGCCCCTGATAAATTTTGTGACAAAAAAAACTGAAACCTGATTGATTTCCGGATTTTAGAAACACCTTCTAGTTTTACTGTTCAGTCAAATTGGTTTCGATGGATTTCATCCCACCTGTCTCACTAGTGATTCAGCATATTTTGATATCATTTTTGTTTCGTTCTTACTTAATATTAATTTGTTTGCGACAATTATTTTTTTACTACATTTTTGCGAGAAGTTTAAAAATATAATATTAAGGGCATTAACTGAAATTTATGTATATTTTTTTTGTATGCTTCTTTTACCTATATCATCCATACCAACAAGCAACTGTCTGCTCTAAATACTGCAATAATATAAAATGAGATAGCCAAACAAAACGTATGGAGTTATTTAAATTCATGTTCGAAAGTATTAATTGTTTTTTGAATTGACAATTTCAGTCATCTTTTAGGTATTTAAAACTGCAGCATATCACATGAAAGTATTAAATACATCATTTTTGCAATAAAGTAAAATAAAAATGAATTCTGATCCTTAGGAATAGATATTAAATAGTCTCATGATCGATGGAGCATAATTACCTTTCAAACAAATCAATTTTTTTTAACCTTTAAAACTAAAAATTTGCTTATTTTTAAATAATTTATTAATACTTAAATTGTTTAAAAGATGATATGATAACGTAGTTTTTTAATTTTATTCAGTCATTTATTTTTATTTCTCATTTTTTCATTTTTTATTTTTATTTTATTGAATTAAATGCACCCGTTTAAAATAAGAACAAAGCTGTCAAAATTTCATATATATTTTCAATTTAAATTTTAAGAAATTGTTTCGACTTTGATTTGGAAATTTAAAAGCCTCATTAATTAAAAAATTGAGAAGCCTTATTAACTTTAAACTCAAAATAACAACAAAAATCAAGGAGTTAAAAATAGAAATAATAAAATCAATAAAGAATAAAATCTTAAGCTAACTAAATAAATTAATTTTGTGTACGAAATGTGATATTACAAATTAAACATATTTCATATTTAGGGGAAATATGGAAAATTTGGTCATACAGGAGTTATAAAAATCTTTTTTCTCATGTTTAAACATTTGTTTAGCTGGTGATCATTTGATTTCAATGCTCTATTAAGCAAAATCATATGTTGTTTCTGTCTACTAGCAATAAGTAAAATTAAAATAAAATTACATTTGCTATCTAGATTTCATTCAGAACAGATCAAATCAAGAGTTTTGGCAGACAGGCCAGTCAAAGAGGGAATTGAAGAGCTGCCTGCCATTTAAATAAATATATAAATCAAAAATCGCAATGAATATGTAAAAAACAGCGCAAACCTTTCACGTTTTCCCTAACCACAACCAAAATTGATATAATAAAAAAATATTTGCTTACCTCCAACGTGAAAGATTTATGTCTTATATCCTACGAAAATTTGATTTAGAAATACAATTCACGGATTCTC